ATTAAAAAAAAAAATAAAATAAAAAAAATAAAAAAATAAAGAAATGATTTAGGGTTTTAGCTTCTCAGGAAGAAAACGTTCTCTTCTAAATTAGAACATAGTTTGTAAGACCAATATCAGAGAGCTTTCCCTGGCAATCTTGATAATCACCAGCTGAAAATCAAGTGTAATGATAACAAGAAATCCCTTCTTAGTAATTTATATTCGTTATGGGCTGAATTGTGTCTCCTCCAAAATTCATGTTGAAGCCCTAACCCCAGTAGCTCAGAATGTGAGAGTATGTGGAAATAGGGCCTTTAAAGAAGTGACGAAGTTAAAATGAGACAGTTCAGGTGGCCCAGAATCCAACTTGTCTGGGATCCCCATAAGAGGAAATGTGGACACACAGAGAGACAGCAGGGATACACACAGGAGACCATGTGAGGACAGAGGGGGAAGGCAGCCATCTGCAAGCCAAGGAGAGAGGCCTCAGAAGAAACCCAACTTGCTGACACCTTGATCTCAGACTTTTAGCCTCCAGACTGTGAGAAAATAAATTTCTGTGGTTAAAGCCATTCAGTCTGTGGTATTTTGTCGTGGCAGCTCTACCAGATTAACACAATATTTTTTACTATTTCCCAGTTGAAAACTCAACATTGATATTTTAAACTTCTGGCATTTAAAACATTATTTTAAACAAAGAATTTTTCTCATTATTCTAATCTAAATAGGCTTTCCTGCTTGATCTGGGATTTGTGATGCAGCTGAGCCTGACCATCCTTTAAAAACCCCCAAGGATTAGGAACCACTGCAGGTTTTTAAGCAGGGGAGCAACAAGATAATTAAATTATTTTTCTAAAAGAAAAAAAAAAAGACTCATTTCTTGCTCCTCACTTAATATGTGCTCTTGACGATTTAACAATAAAAAGCCTAGAATTTTAGAACTAAAGATAACCTCACAGATCATCAGGTCCAATGGTTTTCAACAATTCAACATTTTTTCCCCACCAGGCTAACCGAGTCAACGAATGATGGGCTCTTCTGCCCCACCCACCCCTGCAGTTGAGAGGTGTGGAACAAGGGATGAGGTGGTTCCTCATTATTTTGAATATTTTTAAGCATTTGCTACTTTGTTTAAATATTTTAATTAATAATAGTAAATCAAATGTTAAGTTACACAGTATTTCACAATGGGAGAAAAAAAGTCTTTGTTAAAAAGACTCGAAGAGGGCCAGCCCCGTGGCTTAACGGTTAAGTGCGTGCGCTCGGCTGCCGGCGGCCCGGGATTCAGATCCCGGGTGTGAACCGACGCACCG